CATGATGAGGGTACCACCTTTTGTGGTACTGCTCCAAGAAGTTAATGCCTCGTCAACGTTCCTACTCTGTGGTGAAGGAAAAGGCATTTGCTCTCATCTTAGTGACAACTACGTTCGACGTCCATCTTCCAGAATATCCATTCACGATCCACACCGACCTTAACCCTCTGATTTTCATCAACCGGATGACGTGTCAGCTATGTCCGAATCCTCCAGTGGTAGTTGTTCCTCAAAGAATACACGGTCGTCATCAAGCCTCTTCCCAACAAGATATAATGTTATCTCAGACGCTCTGCGGCAAGTGTTTGCCGAGAAGCAACGTAACACTATGTGAGAAAATTGCTAACCCTCTTACAGGAGCTATAATTTTTTCTCCCTGGTGGGAAGGGATGGTACCTCCAGAGAGGGTGCACTCCTGGCCTCGTGTTTAGTGCTTACACCTAGCAGGATCAGCTAGGTGGGGAAGGCAAACACGCTTGGAGTACTTTGTATGTATAAGAATTTATTTTATGTTGGCTTCATATATTATATCTCGTTAAAAATCTGAGATTCTCAGAGTGTTTATTTTGCCAGTTGGTTAATGATTGCTCTTTCTTCGTGCTACAATATCAGAAGTGAATTTATTTCAGCGATGAAACACATAGTCCATCTTCTTCCCTGAGTTGATGAAATACAGTTGTCACTCTCAGATCATTGAAGGCATTATTTTTTTATCATCTTTGAAGGTATTATTTTTTGCTTATCTTCGAAGGTATTATTTTTATTCATGTAGTAGGTTTAGTTTCTGAATCTTTCCTCATTGGGCAAATTTCGTAATAATTGTATTATTATGATACAGAGAACTCAAGCTGTGGTCTGACTGAGGCATTATTGTCACTGTTTTCTGGCAATTAATGCTTGAACGTTATTGACATGAAGCCTAAAACGTAGGCTTTGTTCTTCTCATTACCACCGTTGTTACATTTGGTCACTTCAGACAGTTGAAATTCAAACTCACATACACAACTTTTATAAAAAATAATGTAATAGTGCAAGACGAGACATTCTTCTATTTCAGTGTTGCATTGAATCAGACGAAAGGAGCCTTGGCACACAGACCCATAACAATATTACAGTAATTACAATGATTTCCTCATCTGATACGTCATTAAGCAGCATCTGTTCTCCAGCTGAGCACAATATTCAGATAAAATTTTACGTCGTCCAAGGTGTTATTTCTTGAATAACTGTTGGAATGGAAAAAACAAAATGAGAGAAATTATGATAATTTATTACTTATCGTGTTTTCTTTTAATGGCCAGTCATGTAATGATAAGGAAACTAAGTAATTGTGATGATGTCGACGCCATCTGTTGAGCGCACCCGACCCCAATTATTTTAGAAGAGGTGTGACGATGTCAACGCCATCTGTTGAGCACACCCGACCTCATGTTCTGTTCCCCGGTCGAAAGCTGCGATCTTATTGACCCTTTGCAGTTTCTTTCTTACTAATCACATTTTACTGCTCAGTAGTGATGTGGGTGGTATCTTGGTCGACAGGAATTAAAACAAAACAAAACAAAAGTTTACCCAGGACAATCCTGAACTCAAGACGTGTTCCAGTGGGAGCAAGTGGCCAAGATGGTAATGACTGTGATGTTGTTGTTTTAAATTCAGTTATTCTGAACAAAATGTCCATGTAGCACGGGCTATAGTGAGCCCGTAACTGAGTTCGGGTATTTACAATAACTTTATTACTGTGATATCTGGGTCAAAGTTTTAAATGAAGGTAGAGTTTTCTTCTTTCTGGACTGATATTAGTATTTTGTTTTAATGACGTTATCTTGGTGGCGGATATAGATGAAAGTGTTCACTAGTGTGGCCGATTTTTAACTTCTTTTATAACCATTGTAGTCGCTGTGGATTTTGCATTTAATGCAGCTGCTGTCGTTGGATTAATGATGAGTTTGATGGGTAGGGTTTCGTTGCTTCACATTCCAGAAAGTAATGTAATAGTGGCATTTCTGTATTTGTTCCACAGATATGACACTCTTTAAGTATTGGGTTTATTACCTCCTTAGCAGCACCTAATGCCAAGTCTGTGTATGGCTGCTGATATGTCTCTGGATATCTTTTTACCAAGAGTAGTACCTGTGATGTGGTTCGTACAACATCACAGTGGGTCTCCCTTCCGCTACTTTGGCTCTGTCGCGACTTTTGATAGTTGGGAGTATTTTCTTCTTGATTTGCTTCCTAATCTGTGAGAAGCTATGAGGTTGACGCGACTGGCAACGTCTTGGTCGCAGGTTCGCGCCCACCTCACAGCCCTAGTTGATTTTCTCATTGATATATTTCACGTTAATGAGATATCTGTTTGTTTATTATTAGTCTTCACACTACGCTGCTTGTTCCTTAAACTCATATGTTTGTTCTCTACTCTATGCAAAAAACAGATACCATGCAAGGATTTCAGATATATTATCATTTGTAATAAGATGGTTTGCCATTTCATGCAGCGTGAGACTTGATTTATCTCAAAATGGCTCAAATTTTCAGACTAAGATGTAATCTTCCGATGTGTGCCCTTGTCTTTGTCGACATACTTTACACTTTACTTCATCTAGATCCCTATAAAAGCCGAACTGCCAGAGATACCTGTAGCCAAGTCTTATTCGAGCTGTGACAACGTTTGTTAGTCTACTGATTTTGTTACTTTCCCCTTACACATGTTTTGTTTGACACGTTTCAATGTGATGAAACTGGACCTACTGATTCCAGTTTGCACTGTTCAACTTCAAATTCATCTAAGAGTTCTCAACACTTTTAAAAGGATCTATTTGATAGCTCGAGATTACGTTCAACATTGCCTGTATTTACTGCAACCTTAGCAATGTCGTCCACTTTATCATGTTCCTGCAGTCCAGTGAGAGAGGGAATCCCCCCCACAGCATTTTTTTTTTACCCCTTTATTACTCACGCATGTATATATCTGTGCCTGGCTTCAGAGACAAACACGTTATTATTTGATTGTAAGTTTTTTCATGCTTACAATCTGTGAGGAAAGTCGTGAGGACAGGGGGTCTGAAACAATTAAGGCGTCTACCTCATTGTTGTAAGTAAGTTTGAATACTTCCAGTATAGTTACCAGTTCAACTTGCAAGGTGGACGACCAGTTTTGAATTCAAATGTTATTTTCATTTGTTCTTCCATCGGGCTAATGAACAATAAGAACACTTCCCACACTCCCTATAGCTGCATTGAGTGATCCGTCAATGTATATGATCTGATTGATGATATTAGTTTGTAGAATGTGTATATGTTCAATGGTACATAATTTAACATGAAGTGAATGTCATCTCAGTTCACAATCATGAGGACTGATTGTGATTAGTTTCTTGGAGGAATATCTAAGCGTCTCTGTAAGCCTCACTGTAGACGCTTCTGTAGGCGTCACTGTAGGCGTCACTGTAGACGCTTCTGTAGGCGTCACTGTAGGCGTCACTGTGCCAAAAGGTACTATTTACCAGGGAGGAAGGAAGCGATGCAGTACGTAGATATAAGTTTGTATGACATTTCCTATCTCCTGGTCATAACATTTTCCTATAGAGGCAGGTGTTCTACCCTAAGGAGGAAGACTAGGCGGCTCAGGTGGGTGTACATATCTATTTCTCCTCTGTGATAACATCAAATGATGTCTGGAGTAAACTTTGCCATCATGAGGCCGCTGATATAATTCTGTGACGAACACAAAGGGGAAGAATTTGCTGGTGAATATGGAATATTAAAATATCAGTATGACAAATTTTGAGATGAGAGCTTTTCTGTTTTCCGTTGTTTTTTTCCGCTCACAATGTGTACAAAACTAACGAATAAATAATACAAAGAAGAGATTTGAAAACAACAAAAATATATGACTCCTCCAAGGCCGAGGCTGTCAAGAGCGTAGTCAAGCGCGATATAAAGATATATTTTAAACGGATGAAACACACTCGAGCACTTTGTTCCTTCTTCAACATTTCACCCGAACAATCCTTTTATGTTCTCTCAACCACCCACTCAACTCTGCAGGAACTATGAAGCAGTCCGGCCGGTGACGTGAACACCGCTTCTCAAAGTTCCATTGTTGCCTGCTGTAAGAACATTACATTTGTGCCCCAGGATAAAAAAAAAAATAGATGCTGAAATGATGAAAACATTTCGCATCATCATGAAACAAAAAAGTGGACATAATATTAAGACGCAAAAAAAAACCACTGATAGAGACGAATTAGATGTAGTGTAATTACATGTAAATACTGATAATATATAGTGTGGTGTAGCGTGTTGGAGGACCGTTGGTATGGGCGGCCAGGCACAAGTGAAGGATTACAGCTCCCTCAGTGATCATTAGAGTGACTTACTAAAACACACATAAGTGTTTTAATGGCAGTTTACTCGTTATAGATCAAGATATCCAGATGCTTTAAAAGGGGGGTATCTGGAGGTTGATCTGAGCATTTATCCTCAGCCTCGCAATCATCGAATTTAGCGAGATGAATCATGGAGGCTTAAGACGAGCTGGGATGAACGCCAGCCCGGGCATCTCCCAGCTACGTTTATTCCACTTCCTCTTAACACCATTATTACTCACCGCTCTATTACATTATTTGGAGCCGGACGCCACCTCAGCACGCCACCGGATTTGAGAAACATTTAAGTTCTTGCTGCAGTTAGCACCGTTTAACTGCTGCATTATCTCGCTCGGAGATAGACCGCTAATCAGGGGTGATAAGTCAGTAGTTGAGGCTCTTTATGATCTATTAAAGCAAACCCGCCCATCGACGCCACACAAAAAACTTCAATGGTGTGGCGACTACGCCTCTCTCTCCAGCCCTCCCGACTGTCTCAAGGGGTAAGGAAGACCACAGAACAACTTACAGCCCAAGGTGAGACCGCATGTGGCAGGTGTCAATGTCTTTCTTCATAATTTCTGATATATATATATATATATATATATATATATATATATATATATATATATA